TATCTAACAAGTCGGAGAGAAAGGGAGAGAGTAGGAGACTGGAGAATCAGAGCAGTACAAGCAAGTCATGATGACAAACAGGTTTGCTTGCTAGACTTTAAGTAAGCTGGGCCAGGCACAGTGGCTCACGCCTGTTATCCCAGCACTTTGGGAGGCTGAGGTGGGCCTCCGTCTTAAAAAAAAAAAAAAAAAAAAGTAAGCTCTAAAAAGATGAGAAGATAAGGCAAAAGGAAGGGTCATTTAGTGAAGGAACCTGAAATCTTTGCTGAGGAATTTGGATATCAAACAAATGGAAGCCACTGCAGACTCTTAAATAGGAGGCAGTATTTGAGAAAATTTATTTATTGCCTCTTGTGCTATTACATATCATTAAAAAGATGAAGAAATCTGAAGCCAAAGACTATCTGTGGGACCCAAGCTAGACAGACTCCTCATTACTCTTTCCGACTGTCCATTAAGTTGCCTTTCTTAACTTCCTATCTGTAAATAGTTTATCTTGGTATAACCTCCAGGAATGTGTGTAAGTATGGAGATATGTTATATGCTAGCCAATGTTCATCTGTGTAGGAAATCACAAATGTCAAGTTTTATTTTTTATTTACTCAACACTTATACAGCACCACATGCCAGGCACTTTATAACTATTAACTCATTCAGTTTTCAGAATTATCCTGTGGAATAGGTACTACTACTCCATTTCACAGTTGAGGAAACCTGGCTAGAGAGATTAAGTTACCTGCTAAGTATGACACAGGTGGGTGCCATCACGTCCAGCTAATTTTTGTATTTTTAGTAAGGACGGGGTTTTACCATGTTGGCCAGGATGGTCTCGATCTCTTGACCTTGTGATCCTCCCACCTTGGCCTCCCAGAGTGCTGGGATTACAGGCATGAGCCACTGTGCCCGGCCTATTAAATTTATTTTCGACTACAATAGGTTTATCAGAAACAGAAACCCAACATAAATGGAACAGCATCTCTCTCTGTATATATATATATATGATCTATCTATTTATAGACAGATAGATATTCATCTTTCTAGACTGAGCTTTGCCTTCACCTCCATCCCCTGAAGGTTTTCTCAGCTCTAGCTACCAATCCCTGGAAGCTGCCTCCTCTCCTCTTCCACAGCACCCAGCACTTGCCTAACTGGACTTATTAACTATTTATAACCATTCATTTACATGTTCACATGCCACCAAACCAAGTTCTCTGAAGACAAGAATTTCAACTAAGCTTAATTTTGCAGCCCTAATGCTATGCCTAACACTGAGTAGACCCTCAATAAATGCTTGTTGAATAAACAAAATCAAATTGTATGATGGCCAGGCATGGTGGCTCCCACCTATAATCCCATCACTTTGTGAAGCCAAGGGAGGAAGATCACCTGAGGAATTCAAGGCTGCAGTAAGCGATGATCACATCACTGCATTCTAGCCTGGGCAACAAAGCAAGACCCTTTCTCTAAAAAAAGATAAGAGTAAACATAATTTTTTATAAAATCTTAAGGAACTGGTAAGGGTAAAGGCCAGATTCTGGTTCTTTAGCATTGCCACTAAGATGCAAACACCCAGATGAGGTGAGGTGGCTCACACCTGTAATCCCACCACTTTGGGAGGTGGGCAGATCATGAAGTCAGATCATCATTCCAGTTAACACAGTGAAATCCCGTCTCTACTAAAATACACACACACACACACACACACAAAAGCCAGGTGTGGTGGCACTCGCCTGTGGTACCAGCTACTCAAGAAGCTAAGGCAGGAGGCAGAGGCTGCAGTGAGCCAAGAATGCGCCACTGCACTCCAGCTTGGGCAACAGAGCAAGACTCTGTCTCCAAAAAAAAAAAAAGATGCAAACACAGTCCCTCTTTACCACCTCTTAATTGTAATACTAATAAATTCACAACTATCATGATTCCTATAATCGGGCTGTAGTTGTTGAAAGCCAAGTTAATTATCGTAGTAGCAGAAACTAATTCATCATGAAACCATATATATATACATTTACATACACACACTTTTTTTTTTTTGAGTCAGGGTCTTTCTCTGTTGCTCAGGCTGAAGCACAGTGGCACAATCATAGCTCACTGCAGCCCAACTTCCAGACTCAAGTGATCCTCCCACCTCAGCCTCCCAAGTAGCTAGACCATGGGCACATGCTACCATGTCTGGCTAACTTTTTTTTTTTTTTTTTTTGGTAGAGATGAAGTCTCACTATGTTGCCCAGACTGGTCTCAGATCTCCTATCCTCAAGCCATCCTTCCACCTCAGCCTCCAGAAGTGCTGGGATTATAGGCACAAGCCACTGTGCCCAAATTACCTTATTGAAACCAAACAAGTTATTTCACAGAACACTTCCTCCCTGAGGCAAAATGATACAATTTGAAAGCAGCTGCTACACTATCAGTTAAAACTATGGCTTCCCAAGGTTAGATGAGCAAACTAGGACCAAAAAAAAAAAAACCCTTGTAGTTTCACCCTTAGATAAGTGGGGAAAATCCCTCAACTATAAAGACCTGTCCAAGGGCCGGACTGGTGGCTCACATCTGTAATCCCAGCACTTTGGGAGGCCAAGGTGGGCGGATCTCCTGAGGTCAGGAGTGAGAGACCAGACTGGCAACATGGTGAAATCCCGTTTCAATTAAAAATACAAAAATTAGCCAGGCATGGTGGCGGGCGCCTGTAATCCCAGCTACTCCAGAGGCTGAGGAAGGAGAACTGCTTGGACCCTGGAGGCAGAAGTTGCAGACCAAGACTGTGCCATTGCACAGTTACTCTGTAACTGCTGTGCCTAGGAGACAGGAGTGAAACTCCATCACAATTTAAACAAAAACAACAACAACAACAAAAAAAAAACCTGTCTAAAACAAAGGATGGGTAGAGAGCAAAAATAAGGTTGAAATCCTTCAGTATAATTCTCTGAAGTTATGTTAGTCAATGAGCAACAGAGAACAAAGGTAGTTAAACCGGATATCTTCACATTTAAAATACAAAAGCATCCTTCCAATATCCAGACATAGAGCTCCTTTTTTTTTTAATCCATACTTCCAAAATGGTTTATATTCTTCTACACTCTCATTCCTTCTACATTCTCATTCCTTCTATATTGATTTAGCACTTACTCTGTTCATGTTAGTGTGCTAGACTTTAGACATGTTACTAAAGAAAAAAAAAGTCAACTACAGGACCTGCCCTCCTAAAGCTCATGTCCTAAAAGAGAAAGCAGGCACTCAATTAATATTCAACTAACTGTTTAAAACAATTGTGTTAAGAAACACAATGGAGAATACAAGTGTTAATAAGTAACACAGAATTCATCCCATGCTCTTCTGTACCAAAAATCAATTGTTTTGTAGCTTCTTGCTACAGAAACTCCACGTGTGCACCCCTTTCAGCAGTTACTCTGTAAAACTGTCAGGTTTCCAACTGCAGCTCTCAGATACACCTCTAGGGAAGATGAAGAAATTAAACTACTTCGAAAGTAATTTCTCCACCAGCTGCTTTTGTAGTATCAGTTTTTCTTTACATCTCTCTTATAAAGCATCACATAAGGGAATACGAAAATCTCTTTTGAGTGTTTTGAATCTTTACCCATTAATGAGGAAAAAACATTTTTTAAAATAAGCATTTATAAAGCACTTACTATCTGAAGACAACACAAGGTAACACAATGACAGGAAGAAAAGATCTGTGCGTGAGATTCACATTCTAGCAAAACAGATCACATGGATTTTTTCCTTTGTATACCACTGCATTCATAATTTTAACATGAATGCAGTATTGAGTAAAGAACTCTCCACTAGAAGAATATTTAGGTTACAAATGTGGGTGCTTTTTTCCCCAAGGAAGTCTCATTATAACTAAAATAACATCCACAAACTATTTTAGTGAACATTGGACGCTTGCTAAATCGACCTTTGTTTTCCAGGATGATAGGAAATCATCTGCTGTCAGATACAGGAACTTAGCTAATAAAAATGGGGAAAGATCAGAACAGAAAATTACATCGAAACTCTGGTAAATTAGGACACCTATCTAGTTGAAAATATAAATCTAGGAAAGATTCTTTCTAAGAAAAAGGAGATTCCCTATTACAAACACTGCTCCCACTGAAATAGCTATTTTATTGGCACTTAGAAAGTCAGACCCTAGCAAGGAAGAAAATGTTTTACATGTCAATATTTACCCTGCAGAACAGATAACAAAAGGGGGGTAGAGCTTTAGGCAAAGCAGGAGGTATCTGGGTTAACTGCCTTCTAAAATGAAAGTTGTAAAACCCTGGCCTGAGTTACCAAGAAGGCTCTGGACCCTCTTTCCGCTTAACATTTTAAGACCGATCACTTCAGTTCAGAATGGAATGGCACAATACGGCTTGAGAGCAGAGAAACATGCTATGTGACCTTCTAAGGACCCTTGCATTTTTTTTTTAACTCGAGTTAAACAAAATCCATTATGATTTTTTCAGTTACTCATTCCACAAATACTTATTGGGTGCCTAGTATGCACATCGCCCTATGCTTAAGCCATGGTGGTCCACAAGAAAAGAAAACTCTACTTGGCCATTATATTCTAATGGGGAGACACGCTAAAGCAACAATTCTATAAACGAACAGAGCGCACGTTTAAGGGGTAAGGGATACTCAGGGCTTCTTTGAGGAAGTAATATTTAAGCTAAGATGTGAAGATGAACCGGTAACAAGGATGAAAGGTTAAAGCCCATACTTCGGGCTTGGCCGACTGGATGGTTAGAGTCATTCATTGGTAGAGGAACAGTGGAGGTGAACCAGATTTGGAGGAAAGTTAACCACCAGCATTTATTTACTGGGGTCCTAGTATGTTTCCAGGCGCTTCCCAAATCCTTTTAATCATTTTGCGCAGCAGAAACTATCACTTTCAGTTTATATACACAAAAGAGAGGCTGAGCGGGGTTAAAATGACGTGCCCAAGACGAAATAAAGAAATCTGACTCTGGTATCAGGTTTGTATGTGCTCGAAAACCCGCGCTCTTTCCACTCCATATCTCCTTCCTGTGTGCACGTCCCTTTCATCTGGTGGCTCCAGCGTGACAAGCTGCCGCTGAGGAAGCCCCTGTCGGGAGCATAAGTGGAGGCATCAGCAGGATGGCCTCGGCAAGTCGCTCCCCTCCCGGGCCTCATCTGCCTAACGATCATCTCCTCCTCCGAAGTTGTATGCATGAAAGGCGAGTGGAAACTTCACTAAAATGAAGGCGACTGAGACACCACAGAAGGAACTGCATCCTTCCGGAGACTTACGAAAATAGTAAGTTTGAAAAAAAACAGGAAGGGAATTCCCTCGCTCCCTAATCACTGAGATCTCTCCTAAGGAAAAGGGTATCTCCCGGGCGGTGTCGAGTCCGGGCGGCGGACTTAGGATGCTCCCACGCTCCCCGACCCGCAGGACCCCCGGAGAAACGCCCGCCAGCCCGCCTGGAGCCACGCGGCACAAGGTGACACGGACCACGCCGTGCCGGCCCCTCAGCCGCCTGGGCGAGGCCGGGAGCAGGGAGAGGGGTGTCCGCCGGCCCGCGCTACCTTGTACTTATCAAAGCCAGCCAGCTGCTCCGGGCTCACGTATTCGTAGCCAGCCATGACGACCCGAAAACCGAGCACCCACTCGGCAGCGACTCTCAATTAGAAGGCGGTGACACGCGAGCACCACACCGGCTGGGCAAGGCTGGGAAGGACTGGGCTGGCGGAGAAGGTAGCCGCGCTCCGCCCACCGCGCACGCGTACCCGTCTCGGCCGCTTCTGCCGCCTCCCAGCGCGCAAGCGCAGCCCAAGCTTCTCCCCACCCACTGAGGGAGTGTCGCTATCCCGCTCGAGCGGCCCGTCCCCCAAGCTGTCGCTGTCCAATCGACGTGGATCAGGCAACACTAAGTCCCGCCTTCTAGCTCTCTTCGTCGCTTCATTTGCTAGCGTCAAAATTGGTGAGCTGAGGTAAGGCAAGAGGGTATGAAAGGTCAATTTCCCAGCGGGCTTTGCTCAAGGTCCCGGGAGTAGGTGGGCGTTTCCGTGGTATCCTCACTAGAGTGGACATCTGGGGGATACTCTTTTAGTCCCGAGGGTAGGGTGACTGCTTGCGAGCCAGTCCAGCAGTGTTTCAGGTAAGAAGACAGTTATCCCACCGCAGCGAAGTACAAAAGGAAGGAGGTCTGTACTGCGGGCCGCTCCCAGCTCCTGGTACGGTGCGCTGCATGCACCGTAAACATAACATGTTTATGTTTACGAAGAGGGTATCCCCCAGATATCCATTCTAGTGAGGATACCACGGAAACGCCCACCTACTCCCGGGACCAAGAGCAAAGCCTCATCGCACTCCGCTCTGTCAAACCGTTCCAAATTGAGATTGCTGGTGCCTCCTGACCAGATAAAAGCAGTGATCTGTCAGTCTTGACGAGTCCTTAACTGTGTTTCCAAGAAGTGTTTTTACTGGAGCCCAGTTAGTTGGAAAAAAAAATTAGATCAATGGCTAGTGAGTATCTACTAAGAAAATTTATAATTGTTGCTGCTTTTTATTGAGCATCTTCTATGGGGAGAACTTCACATACATTATTATCAACCCCATAACAACACTGTGATGTGAAAGGCATTATCCCCATTTTCAGATTAGGCAACCTGCCCAGTGTCACTTAGTCACGCAGCTCGGAAATGATCGACCCAACGTGAAATGAGATCTGTGTTATGGGAAACCACTAGCTCAGGGAGCCTTTCAGTCTCTCTGGGTCTCTGAAATAAGAGCTATTATTTTGAGATACTTTTATGTTCATTCATTTACTAGCTACTTACTGGGGACTCAAGATATGCCAAGCACATTATTATTACTACATGTCTAATGTCTCCTCCTAAAGCATAAAATTCTTATAAGGTAATAGGTATCTTATACTTGTTATATGGTAGATAATAAGCTTTTTTTTCCCCTTGAGACAGGTACTCACTTACACCCAGGCTGGAATCCAATGACGTGATCATGGCTCACTGCAGCCTCGACCTCTCCTGGCTAAGGTGATCCTGCCTCAGTCTCCTAAGTAGCTAGAACTACTGGCTCACACCACCACACCTGGCTAAATTTTTTGCATTTTTTGTAGAGTGGGCACCTGGCCAATCAATAAACTTGAGTGTCCTTTATCACACTTGCCCTCAAGGAGAGTATTTGCATCTTATACATCTCAATTTTCCCCATGTTCCATAGCCCAGGGGCTTGCAAATAATACGTGATCAATATATTTTACTGAATGAAGGAGCAAAGATCTCTTTGATATGCTGTGAAGTACCAGTTTTGAGAAGAACATTAGAAATGAGAGTCTCAGCCAGGCACAGTGGCTCATGCCTGTAATCCCAACACTTTGGGAGGCTGAGGTGCCAGGATTACTTGCGGCCAGGAGTCTGAGACCAGCCCGGACAATATGGTAAAACGTTGTCTCTACTAAAAATACAAAACTAACCAGGCGTAGTGGCATCCGCCTGTAGTCCCAGCTACTCAGGAGACCAAGGCAGGAGAATCGCTTGAGCCTGGGAGATGGAGGTTGCAGTGAACCGAGATTGCGCCACTGCACTCCAGCCTTGGGCGACAGAGCAAGACTCTGTCTCAAAAACAAAACAAAACAAAAAACCTTCATACTTGTAAAACTAGTTAATTATGAAAAGCCATAAAATGTTACTTCAGTGCAAGCTAATAATAGTTTATAAACTGCACTTGCTGTTAATCAGTTCAGATATAAGCAAACTCAGAATGCCATGATTGCTTTTTAAATTGTTTTCTTCCTCTGATATTTTCTTTAAAGGAGCGATTTTTAATTTTGTGAAAGCAGTTACAATTTGCTGCCTATTCTCTGCATAAGGTTGTAACAATTTTGAATCAATTGTAAATACATTGGTAATTTATAAGCTAAAATATAACCTAGAAATTTGTTTATATTTTGACATGTTACTGGCTGTGTAATCCCAGACAATTTACTTCACTTAGCCCAAGTTCTATTTTTTAAAAAGAGGTCATTTGATCCTAAGATCTAATTCAATCCATTAGATCCTAAGATCCTATTCATCTCTGAAATTCAATGAAACTATATATCATAACTTCTCTGAGATTAAGTCACTCACCTGGAAAATCTTGTCTTACCTACTATTATATGGCTTAAGTCTGTTCAATTAACCCCATACAAATATCAGATATTACCATCATGCTCTATGTAACCACATTTCAGTCAATGAGGAACCACCTGGTGGTCCCATAAGATTATAGCGGAGCTGAAAAATTTCTGTCACCTAGTGACATTGTAGCTGTCAAAATGTTGTAACACAAGGCATTACTCACGTTTCTGGTAATGCTAGTGTAAACAAACCTATTGTGCTGCCAGTCATATAAAAGTATAGCACATGTAATTATGTACACTTCTGAATACTTGATAATAAATATCTTACTGGCTTTTGTATTTACTATCAGAACATAGTCTGTCATTAAGTAATGCACGAGTATATTTTCCCAGAATTCCATTAATCCTAGACCAAGCAGGCACTGTCACCTTGGAAGAGAAAAATGTCATGTAAACAAATTTGCCTTTGGGACTAAGTCAGCTTTCTGTTTCCTCTTTCCCAAATTTTATTCCAGGAGGCATTTTTCCCTAAGGCAGCCCAGCTGCCCGGGACTGCTCTAGATTGACCTTGTTATTCCGGTCTATGCTCTACACGCCCAGTTACTGAGTGTAATTTATTGTTGCTGTGTTTCCCTTGTCTTCCTCCTCATCCGTTAACGTTTATCTCTTCTACATCTTGTACACTCAAGATAAGACATTTTGCCTTCCAGCATAATAATCATAGAAAATATCAATTTGTGCTAGAAACAATATTTTTACTTTTACAACATAACTGAAAAAAAGTGTTTTAAATTCCTGGAGTGCCTGTTTTATTTAGTCTGGATAAGAGTGCATTAGATAACTGAAGACAGCCAAAAATATTGGAGGTTAATTAAGGACTAATATAGTTAATAACTCCAATATGAGTTACTGAAGCCATAAAAATGGGCAGGGTCTCCCAAGGAAGTTTGTAAGAAGGTGTTGGTTTAGTTCTCATTTTAAAATAAATTGAATGCCTTATACACATAAACTCTGTGGTTGTCAAAGTAATTTCACATGACTAACAATCCTGAGCTATAGGCCTGATGGTTGTTCCAATTGTACAGAGTGGAACTATGGAATGGTAATACATCTTGCCAAAAGTCACCCAGGAAAGAACACAGGTCATCAGACTTTTAGCTGAACAATTTTCCAGTACACCATGCTTCTGTGAGTTACCATGATAAGATGTTTAAAAAAAAAAATCACAAGTCAATTTTTAATCCAGACTGGAGAGGAAAAAAAAAGCAAAGAGGCCAGGTGTGGTGGCTCACACCTGCAACTCCAGCACATTGGGAGGCCGAGGCGGGGGGATTACAAGGTCAGGAGATTGAGACCATCCTGGCCACCATGGTGAAACCCTATCTCTACAAAAATACAAAAAAAAAAAAAATTAGTCGGGTGTGGTGGTACGCACCTATAGTCCCAGCTACTTAGGAGGCTGAGGCAGGGGAATTATTTGAACCTGGGAGGCAGAGGTTGCAGTGAGCCAGGATGGCGCTACTGCACTCCAGCCTGGAGACAGAGTGAGACTGTCTCAAAAAAAGAAACTCCCTGGCTATTATAGTAAATATTCTCAAGTGGGGTTATGTCGGCCTGTTTTTTGCTATATTTTAAATTTTTCAATCACAATCCTCCTAGGTAAGAATGTATAGTAACTGAATAAGTCATCAGTCATATTTTTATCACAGAAAAAGTTTGTGCAATATAATGAGATTCAGCATAAACTAATACTTCCTACTTTCTATGTTGCTGGGGGAGGATGGTGTCTCGTCTGTTTTGTGACTTATCATTCCCAACCAGCTTCCCAGTGATTTTTTTTTCTAGATGAAGTCTCACTCTGTCCCCAGGCTGGAGTGCAATGGCATAATCTTGGCTCACTGAAACCTCTGCCTCCCAGGTTCAAGTGATTCTCCTGCTTCAGTCTCCTGAGTAGCTGGGATTACAAGCACACAACACCACACCTGGCTAATTTTTGTACTTTTAGTAGAGACGGGGTTTTACTGTGTAGGCCAGGCTAGTCTCAAACCCCTGACCTCAGGTAATCTGCCCACCTTGGCCACCCAAAGTGCTGGAATGACATGCGTAAGCCACCAGGCCCGTCCTTCTCAGTGGTTTTATGGCCATTTTTGTGGTCTTAACCTACCAAACCAATAGTGTCAGTAGTCATTCAAATTCTAGAGACAGTTTAAAGGTTCAGAGGGACCCAGTGTGATATGAGCAAGAGTAAAAATCATAGGTCTAATAATTAATTTAGACCATCTACATATTTGCCATTCTTTTTTTGAAGGTGAGTGATTGTTTCTCTATTATAACCAATACTCATGATCATGTCTGTTAAATAAAAGAAGCATTATGTTAAAAACTAATTGCAAGCAAAGTTTTACATAGGGCAAAGTCTTATTTGCATCTCTGAAAGTTCTGGTAGTGATCCAGCATCTGTATTCTATGAATTGAGAAAGAATTAATTCCTCTCCCACACATACATCCTCCCCTGCTTCATTACTCCACTGGAATGGAAGCAGAACTATAGGTAAAGAACAAATCATTCAGATGAGTAGCCAC